AATCCTATACCTTAGATATACGCGCGAATCTAAAATGTTACTACCGCGTTTCTATATAGCTAAAAACACCTGTCGACCGTTGGCAAAAAAAATCAAATCCCTTAAAGTCATGCTTGCGAGAGCAAAAATATAATTTGAAGGCGATATTGCGACGCGACCACAAAAGCCACATGGGGAGTCCGTGTCTGTCTTTATCTTTATTCTTATGTTGATATTTTCCAGACCACTCCCATCCTTTATGCGCAACCACTCTAGCGTGGAAGGTTCATGTTATCATTTTCTCTTTTCATGCTATTTATTTTCACGCCACTCGACTTCCGGTATGTTAACGCACAGTTCGACTTCCAGTGTGTCGATTCGTCAGCGACCGTAGGCGAATATATATAAATATATACTCTTCTGCAATGATCACTCTCATCTTTATATGAAATTTTCTGTTTGGATCCATTTAGAATAGACAGAAAGATGTTTCAAGCTTTCAAAGAGAGATATGAAACATTCCTGCTCACAGATTCAGGAGCAAACCCATTCTTGTAAATATTTGAATTAATAAGTTTATGCGATGAGTGATAAAGAATTTATTCGGGGAAGTCTTGAGTGAGCAGCTCTGAAAATTTTCTTTTTCAAAGATCTTTTTGATCAGCAAGATATAATGATTTGACTTGACAGAGTTGGGCAACATCCGGTGATTAAAGGAACTTAAATAAAAGAGTGCCAATGGGAAGCGGGGGAAATATTTCGTCACGCAGATGAAATGTATCACTGTTATAACTATTATCTGGTTTGTATTACTAAAAAATGTGGCAGGCTACAAAACCGTTCTGAGATCTTTCACTTACATGTAAACAAGACGCGAGAAAAAAGCAAGTAGAGTTTTGACATTCGCAATTCTGTTTGAGTTCTGTGAACTCTGAAGAAATCATGAATATCGAGTACACCTCAAGAATTTGTAAAGAATACTAAGTGTGCAAAATATCCGATAAATGATGACTACTTCAAGTTTAGTTAGACAGCTCCTACATCCGAAACTAAAAGTCCCTTTCGTGTGGGGAAACGGCCTGAATCGATGACTAATTTAGCGAGTGACGTGTGACTCATAATATGAGCGAATTCTGTTTGACTGCACCAACTCAAGTTTAGCATTTTAAAACCTGAAAGGAGAAGTTGTTTACCAAATTGAAAGGGATTAAGTTACAGATTAGCATGCAGTCCATTTGCCTTGAAAAAATTAGAATAAGTCTGGTTGTGAACCTATACCTTTTATAAATAATACAAGCTTCTGAGAGTGTGAAACTTTGTAGAAAAAACAGATAAATATTAGTTATAAGTTTACGCGCTTGAAGGGAATGGAATTTACACTGATCTCGCTAGAAGTCTGT